GCTGTGAATAAATTCAAGTTTAGGTCCTTCTAACAGCTGTAGAACAGTAAGTTAGTTAGTATCAAATATGCTGTATTTGCATAAAACTGAATGCTTTATAAGCTTATGAAGATCTATTTTGTTTTCATCTATACAAACAGTAGGAAGCACTGTGTTTAGAGTCTGATTTGTTAATACATTTAATAATCTAATCTTCATGTACAGCACAGTAGATGTTCAGTAAGGATTAATTACTTCTTTATGTCTCTTAATGGAAAACACAGTATATTTTGATAATGAGACAATACTTCAGTGTCAGGAACTACAGATGAATCTGCTTGATAGCCAATTTCATTACCAGTGTCAGTATGCTGTGAAGGGCAGAGTGCCTCTTGGATAGAATTAGAGTTTATATAGAAGATTTCAGGATGTGGATGTAAGGAAGCTCTATCACGGAGGGTTTTTTTTTTCATCTAAAGAAAATACAGAAAGTAGTATTTTGTTTAGTGTGTAAACATGAATAAATCTTAAAAAATAATATAAGAATATATACTTAAAGATAAAAGATGTAAGAAATTACTTGATGTTTTCACATTCAAATATTGCAAATAGTTGCTAAATAATTCATATTGACACAGTCCACAGCTTTCTTTTACAGGAAGTACATTTTCTAAATGTCTAAAAGAAATAATTACCTAGGGCAGATACCTAAAATCTCCTTTGGAAACTTTTAATATTTTTTAATGTTAATTTTTTTTATTTCATAGCAATATTAAATGGCGGAAGAGATAGTGGCCTGCAGGTAGTGCAAGGGGCACCTTTCCTGTTTTCCATACATTTAATCAAAGAAGATGCAGGATTTGTTTACTCAGTTCTTTACACAGTAGTTATGTATCAGATAAACATATGGAGCTCTTTACTAATACAAGAAAAAAACCTCTTAATGTCTATATTGTCTAAAGACTGCTGATTCTCATGTTGGAATGATATACTCCATAGGCCACTTTGTGTATTTATGTACTCGGCTTTTTCCTGCCAGGAAAAAATTAGCCTTCTAATTTTGCATCCAGCATTGAGTACATGAGTACTTGTGGCTTTACAAGAACAGAGGATTAAGGAAATCACAGAATCATAAAATGGCTGATGTTGGAAGGGAGCTCTGGAGGTTATCTGAACCAGCGTCCCTGCTCAGGCAGGGCTACCTAGAGCCAGTTGCCCACGACCATGTCCAGATGGCTTTTAAACATCCCCAAGGATGGAGGTAGATCCAAGATGCTTTTGAAACAGACTTTGCGACTTGCTTTTTGTTCATAACATATCCTTACCATGACTTTTTGTAACATTTAGCAGATATCAGAATCTTAATTGCCAATTTTCCTAGCCTCAAAATACATACCTCTAGGACACAAAGAATTGTTGCTGATTTTCTGAGCTTATCTGGACTGGTTAACACATTCATCTCTGTTTTTGGCATTAATATACCTAAAAATAAAATAACAGATTTCTGTGGTTATATTGACATTCTGCATGTATTACTTTGTTGTTGTTGGAGTGTGTAGAATTCTAACAAAATCTTACGCTATGAAATTTCTATTAATTTGTCATTTATTTGGACTTAAGGTTCACTCTTTGTATTTCAGTGAAAATAGCGCTCATAATTCATTGACAACCTAGTTGATAGGTGAGCACTTGCAGTTTATTTTTTTCCTTCAGTTTCTTTTTACAAACCTTTTACATAACACTGTATAATGTGTTAGTGTATTAGAATAGTTAGAAGGCAATTATTTTTATAATCTTTTAAGAAACTGTCATGAGCTTTTTTTTAATCTGTAAAATAATTTTGCAGTATTTTCAGCCACAGTGCTCTACTCACATATGCAATTTATGACTAGATGTTATACTAATCTATTATTTTTCAAGAAATATCGCAGTTCTTTAGTTGTCAACATAATACCTGTTTATAGTATGTGAAATCTGACATTTGACATGTTCTTTGGTTTCTAGGATATCACAGGTGCTTTGATTTTTAAATGGTTATGAGGATTTCTAAATGAAGTAACTGTCCAAAAAGATGCTACAAAGGGAACTTCATACAGAAATGCGTGAAGCATTGTGCCAGTGAAGTTTCAGTTTAGTAAATCTGATTTTCTTCTTTTTCTTGAATTTCAGATTTATCCATGGCAGTACAAAAATTTTCACAGTCTCTACAAGATTTCCAGTTTGAGTGCATTGGGGATGCTGAAACTGATGATGAAATTAATATTGGTAAGTACACTATGTGCTCCAGTTGGAGTAACATTTTATATTGTTCCTTATATATTTAATAGGGTATCACAGTTATAATGGGATAGTTAACAGTTTTTCTTTAATGGAGCATATAACAAAAATAGCAAAATTGCAAATCATGCAGTGCTAAATACACATGTAAAAAAAGTCTTCATGACATAGGTTGGTTCATTGTAGTGCAAAATATTCAACAGTACTTTGTCAATTGAGTCAACTATGATTCTTCTAAATTCTGTTGCTAATTTGCAGCCAGTTTTTGTTGGGATACTAAAATACATAGATGTTTCCTATGAAATTACATAGGTCTGCAAAAAAAAGCACTTAAGTGCCTAGTAAGACACAGGAAGTATCTAAAGGTCTAAACCCAGGAATGTTTTCTTTACAACTTGCACATTCCTAAGTATACAGTTGTCTCAGCTTTTGCCAGTAAAATTTATTAGCTACTTCATGTTCCATCTCTGTGCACTCCCAACTTCTGTGTTTGCAGGACTGAACAGCTCAGCTTGTCTTGAATGTAAGCCTCCTTAATATATTGAAAGTACTCTTCCCTCAGCATACCTAATCCTGAAAACATTTCCAGGTTTCAGAAATTGAGCCACTCTTTAGTGCAAGGCATTGCCATGGTTGCAGTGATGCTTTTGGGCAGTAACACAGCAGCTGGAGTGCTCTAGCTCCCATTGGTGAGAAATAGATTATAATCCATTTTCAGAATGGCTAAATTAAGTGTCATGAGTCTTACATATCACATGATCGCCATGTCTTTCCTAAAACACCTGAAAAGAAGGAAGACGGTTGTTAAAGAGTAGTTGCTTCTAAAAATAAATAATTTGGCAGTACAAAAGGGATCGTAGGATTTGTTAGTACTTAAAAAAAATAAATCTGTGTAATGCAGGGAGGAAAGTCAGATTTAGGCTTTTCCAAGAATATCTCTTATTATAACCTATTTTCAGGTCTCCTCTCCCTAAAATATTTTCGTTTTCCTGACTAAGTTACTAATCATTGAGTTCTGTGCTTTCATTGGAGAAATTTGCCTGGTCTTCACCTCACAAAGTTGTGATAGTTAGGATACTGTCATCAAAGGTGGCTAGTATTTGATCACTGTCTTCCTCTAACCTTTGGCAGGGGAGATTTAGTGTTACTGACGTATACAAGTGGGGGAGTGAAAACACTGAGCTGCTTCTGTTCAGATGTAGAACTGCATACATTCTTCAGGTCTATCAAGTTTGGAAAGATAAAAAAACTGAATTGTATGTTTGTGGTCTTTGGCATTCTGCCTGTTATTTCTTGGCTGTTAAAAGTTAGCTTGTACATATTTTACGCATTTAAACTAGAGTATTTCAGTTATATGTCTTAGATTTGGTCAATAACTTTCTTAAAGATAAGAGGTTTTGCATGTAAAATGAGGTGACTGAGGACAAAGATAACTCTCATTTTACTTGTAACCTAAATGTAGCAAAGAAAAGACATTGTTTGGACATTAAACAGCCATTTAAAACTATTTAGAAAAAAAACACAACAGACTTCATGAATCTTGACAGCTGATTTATTTCACTTGGAGCTTCAAAAAAGAGATTTCTAGCTTCTAAAGCACCCATTGCCTGATGGATTGTCATGTACATCAAAGGTACTTGTAAGAGTAAAAGGTAAACTGACAGGAATCAAATTAAAATCTTAACAGAGGTTGAATGATACTGTGTGCTTTTACAGGGTAAGGCTCAATTTTTGATCTCCCTTGAGCAGTGACCTAGAATTTGTTCATATCTTTAACATGCCCCAACAAGATAGATGTTTGCTTATCATCAAAGACTGCTTTGTACAGATGAATCCTGTTCTCTATGCATCCTTCTGCCTTCACCTCCTTTTTTAGAAATACCTAGGACTGCGCAGGCCACTGGGAATTCTTACTTCAGTCTGCAGTGATGCTTTGACTTAGGGACTTTATACAGAGACTCTATTCTGAAGATTTTAAAATATATTTCTGTTTCAAGTTCAGCACTGGAAATCCACCCTCATCTCCCTAAGGCTGGAAATTCATGCTCTAACCAAGGCTGCTTCTGTCAAAATGTGATTATTTCTGTTTGGTTGGTTTTTTTTAATATTTGAAATGTAAGTTATTTTTTTCTTTTTTATTTTCTTACCTTTTTTTTTTTCTTACCAGTATTTCCAACTGAGTTGATAGCTCCATGAACCTTTTTTTTTCATAGAATCACAGAACTATTCAGGTTGGAAAAAACCCTTGGGATCACTCAGTCCAACCATCATCCCTACTCTACAAAGTTCTCCCTTAAGCCATGCCACCAATGCCACATCCAGACAACCCTTAAACACATACAGGGATGGTGACTCAGCCACCTCCTTGGGCAGCCTATTCCAGTGTCTAACCACTCTCTGTATGAAAAATGTTTTCCTAATGTCCAGTCTAAACCTCCCCTGTTGCAGCTTGAAGCCATTCCCTCTTGTTCTGTTGCTAATTACCTGTGAGAAGAGACCAGAACCAACCTCTCTAAAATGGCCTTTCAGGTAGTTGTAGAGACTGATGAGGTCTCCCCTCAGCCTCCTCTTCCTCAAACTAAACGTTCCCAGCTCCTTCAAGCGTTCTTTATAAGACACAATTTTGAGGCAATACTAGATAGAAGTTCTCTGTTCAATAGCTAAGCACAACATAATTTTTTGGGTTTTTTTGCCAACCTGAGCTCTAATTACTGCATTCAGTTTTAACTGCATTTCCTTTAACCTGTGGCTTTTTAAATGCTCTCATCTATTCCAATAAGCAATTTACACAATATAAGTGAGAAGTGGTTTTAGTTAAGCTTCATGACACACTCAGTAAGCTCAGAATTATTCTGGTGTTCTTCATATTTATTTTAATCCACCAATTATTTACTCCAGTGATTTATCTAGAGGTTTTGATTTCTTTAAATTCCCATCTTTGATTTCTAATTTATTATTTTTTTAATTTACAGATGTTTAATTTTTCCATTAAAATGTTGATCTTTTTTGACAAAAAATGTATGTGTCTGTGTAATGCATTTTCTGTAAT